TGAGATATGAGGACTGAAACAGTAAATAGAATGAATGGGTCATGTAAGGCTGTTGACTCTTGTGGGATTATTTTTGGGTGTGAATGAGGCATGAAAAACCTTTTGGTCCATACCATTACATGTGGATTTATTATTCAGTGTGGGTCTAATGTTGTCTGAATTGGGCATGTGATGTTTGTCTATTGATACAAAATGGAGCATTTTATGCTCTTTAAAGTTGAATAATATTGGAATAAAAAGTTATACTTCATCCACTATAAATCAATCATATCTATGTTGGCTTTTCTTAACCTTTCTTACATTTTTTTTAATACTTTACTATATTTGTATACATTTTGTATTTATGATATGGCTTTTATCTATTTATCTCAAGTATTGGTCAGGGGCTCGTCGGAACGGTAGCTGCTTAGTCTCATCTGAGAGTACAATCTTTTTGTATTTTTTTTTGAAAGAAAAAACAACGGTAGCTGCTCAAATGGGTTATAAATCAATCATCAACTTATAACAAATCAAACTTGAATAATCTTCATCATGACTAGTGTTGCTGATTCAAATGTGATATAAAAATAGCTCAATGCATTCTTCTGATCCCCATTTCAGAAGCTATAAAGGTGGCAAAGATAATTGTAATGATGAAGATGATTTTGTTTCTTGCTATGGTTATTCTGTTTTATTGTAAATGAGTAAATATAAGAACAAGGAATAATCTTCATAGTTGAAAATACATGACTAAAATGACCCCCATGTAAAGAGTTAGAGGACTATTTTGGCATTTTACTTTTTGAAGTTTCATTGATATTGCTTTTGTCTGAAGATGCAAAAAAGCACTTTCTGAAATTTACCTTCAGAGTTTGCATGATATACTTTATCACAAAATGTTTTTTAAGATTCTCCGTTTTTTTATTAGTGTGGTCATGTTACTTAAAGCTGTCACATCTTGGCATCCTTTTCTTCTGATGGCATTGTTTGCTATCTATTAATATTATTTTCATTAAATCTTATGTTCTTTGTTATATTCTAATTTGAAACTGCATTTTGGTCTAAACATTTTTTTTAGTGGATGGTATAACCTTCAGAAGCTTGCCTTTGCAGAAAACAGAAATCCCTCATTATGAGTTTGCTTTACTAAAGAACTGAACAGTATACTGTAAATGAACCACTGCACTTGATGAACCTTGAACTCAACTCAATTAAGGCTCCATCATGTTTATTCAAATTAGTAAATAAATAAATTTGAACAATTTTTAAAAGCTCGAAGCTTAAACAAACCGAACATGAACATAGTCAAACTTGTTTGTTTAAGTTCACGATCAAACTCATTTGGCGTTCAACAAATAACTTGTTCAATACTCGATATTAGGTTCAGTAATAGGTCGTATTATATATATATATATATATATATATATATGTAAAGGTATGTGCAATATATATTTATTCATTTAGTTAGAACTTATTTAATTATAGATTTAATAGTGAAATATTATTATATCAATAGTATTTTTAGTTTAATTATTAATTATATATTTATTTTATTAATAAATGAATGTAAATTTAGAATGAGATATTTACTAATAAAGCGTAGAGCATCTTATGCAATTAATATTAAATGACACTTATACAATAGGAAATTTCAGGTTCACTATTAGTTTTAAATTGTCACTCAATAATTAGTTATCATTTGTTATTTACACTGCATTTCTACCATCATTATTAGTCGTAATGATTAATATGTTTCTCCATTTGTTGGCAAAGACTGCTCAGCCTACAATAATGTCCAAGCCCTATTTAGATCAGGAAAAATAAGGAGCAAATGGTATCTTATCTTATGGGATGGCAATAGGAAATTTCAGGTTCACTATAACTTTAAACTTGTTTATAAAAAGTTGTCATTTTTTATTTTCATCTCCATTTCTATTAGGCCAAAGAAGACAATTTCTTGATGGGTGAGAGTTTGGCTGACACATATGCTCAGCTTTGGATGTCAGCTTACGTAATTAAATTACGAAAATTTCTTTCTACTTTGAATTTCTGAACAACTTATTAGTGAACATGATAGTTGTAAGGATTATTATTTAATCGTAGTTCTTGATGTATGCCCTACAGTTGAACCAACATTATTTTTTTGGGTGGGAAAAATCACCGTGTCTAATTTTCTTCAAGTATCGGGCAAAAAAAAAAAATGTCGAGGTGGTGCAATATTACTAAATTGCCTAAATTACATATGAAATATATATAAATTTTATTATTTATATAGAGAAATTGTAAATTTTAAGGGGATAATTGCCCATCCTGTAGATAACCTGGTTCCATCTTTGATGATCTACGTGGAGCTCAACCATTTCGAAGTATTTGGATGTTTTTTTTTTGGCTTATATTTATGGAAGGCTTGGTATAAATGTAAAAAGTAAAGTTTAGATGTTAGATATGTAAATGCATAAGAATTGGGTGTATGTAATTGCCCGGTTTATTTGACTCTATAATATATCCAGCCCAATTTGCATCAAGATTTGGGTGGTATAAATGTTTTTAAAGTTTAGTGTTTAGATATGTAAATACATAGGAATTGTGTGGTAAGCATCTAATTTCCCTTTCTTTTATTTATCTACTATCGGTATGGTGATGTTTCAGTCGTTGTGATGAGAGAAATTCTTGGTTTTTCAATTCCTTTGTTAGCAAGAAGTTTTAAAATTAAGGGAGAGCGTATCTTACAAATACTTGATCATGAGTATTTGTGTGAAGATTGGTTAAAAATCTGGTAGTTCATTAAAAGAGAAATGAATTTTACAGGACTCATGTCAGTTTCACTTGACCAAGGTATTGAAGAATCTCCGGTTACTGTTGGGATTTGCATTTCAAATATCATTATTAGTCATAACGATTTATATGTTTCTCTTTTTGTTGGTAAAGCTTGCTCGGCCTACAATAATGGCCTCACTCCATTTAGAATAGGAAAACTAAGAATCAAATGATGTCTTATCTTCTCGGATGACAATTCATGTCAGTATACTTAACAATAGTTGCCCAAAAATTTTCTACATAACACGTAAATATTCATATTTACGTATATATCACTCAAATCTTGTAACATCACATCAAAAGTATGACTATTACTAACTTAGTGAAATACACATTTTTATGCATATAGGTTTATAAATACTGCAACAACAACAAGCTTTTTTCTTCATTGTGCCCTATTGAGTGTTATTTCATTTATATCAAATAAATTAATATTTTTTTATACATAATATCCAAATCGTTTTAGTTCTATTTCTACATTTTCGAACATGACTTGAATCTGAAACATCTACTCTTTTGATTGGGTCATCAGATGGTCGACAACATATCCAAATCATTTTAGAATCTGGTATAAGACATCCAAATCATTTTAGAATCTGGTATAAGACATCCAAATCATTTTAGAATCTGGTATAAGACATCCAAATCATTTTAGAATCTGGTATAAGACATCCAAATTAATATTTTTTTATACAACATATCCAAATTAATATTTTTTTATACAACATATCCAAATCATTTTAGATCTGAAGCATACACGGTATAAGACCCCTCAGGTCGGGGGTTTGAATCCCGTTTGGCACAGTTGGCCTTAAGGAGGTGGTACTCGAATAGTTAGGCACATTAGGGTGGCTAGAGACTTGCATAATAGCCTCTGGCCATTCCTTTTAAAAAAAATTATCATATGAACTTTACTACTTGTTTTATATCCAGAACCAGTGTTTTTCTTTTTCTTTATTTTTTGCAAAGATGTATAAAGTGAACTTAAGGTGATGGATATGTAAATACATAGGAATTGGCAAAGTATATTGGTAAATGTGTTTAGTTGTTTTCAGTATGTTGACGGTTCTTGTTGCTGAGACGAGAGAAATTCTTGGTTTTTTAAATTCATTTGTTAGCAAGAAATATTGAAGTGAAGGGCGAATATATCCTGCGAATGCTTGATCATGGGTATTCTTGTGACGGTTGGTTAAAATCTGGTAGTTCATGACATCATTCAAAGAGAAATCAATTTTACAGGAATCAAGTCAGTTTCACTTAAACAAGGTGATGGAGAAGCTTTGATTGGCTTTTAGGATCTGCTGCTAATGAGTTTTACTTGTATTCTTTGCTGTTTGAAGCCCCTTTTAGTATTGTGTCAAGTATGATTCTGGTGATTCTGAGACTCCTATTATTAGTTTCTACTTGGTCCCATTATTTCTTATTATACTCCAATTTCTGAGATTTTTGGTATTAGTAATGTTTTGAATTTTTTTTTATTTTTCTTTTCTTTTGTTATTCAATTGCTTATTTATTTAGTTTAAATGAAGGGGAATCACAATCTTTTAATTTTCTAGTAGATTATTTTGATTGGGCCAACACCATAGTATTTTCCCATTCCATGTTATTTTCACTAAAAAATTATGGTTTCTCCTCTGTTTTTTTTTTTAATATGCATGTGCTGTATATTCATGCAAGACCAAGACTTTATATTATCACCATACCACCGTGAATCTTCTAGCATGCAACAAAGCTAATGTTGTGTTCATTTTCTGCTCTCTTTTCTTTTAGAGTTATTTTTTAATTATGCTTTGATTTCATGAACTCTCTTTTAACTTGGCTTGCTTATTCCCATTTTTTTGTTCAATTAGTTTACTACATTTTGTTTGGATCTCATCGCAATATTCTTATAGTTCATTTACTTGCATGTTTACGTTGCTGCTTCTGATATGGCGTTATCTCTTGAAGTTTAGTTACTCCGGGGCATCATGATACCAGAAAAGCAGCAGCTTATATTAGATGAAGGAAAAGCAGCAAAATTTTGGGTTGCTATTTGTTGCACAAAAATCATTTCCTTTTTTTTTTAATCACATTGCTTTGAAGCCTTTTGGGTTTCAGTGCTTTGTAAATATTAATGTGTTAAGTTTTATATTTGTAATAGAGATCAATGGTTTCAAAGGCATTTAACTGGTGGCAGAGGCGTGTACAAGGCAAGTATTTTTTGGATTTTTGAAGATGCAAATTCACTCTTCTTCAAGCATGTTTTTTAACTTAAAGCTGCCCAAACTTCACTCAAGCTGTTGGAGAAGGCCGTGATAATAAAGAAATTATAGGTTCTCTTAAGAGTCTATTTAGGTTAGCTTTTTTGCTTTCTTTTAGTTTCATGCTGACGTCACAATTCTGTCTAGGGAATTGCATTGTTGTTTTTTAGAAATTTTTATGATAGGAAGTTGGCTTTTGCTATTATATTTGTTAGTTAGTGTTTGATTGTTGTAAGAAAGCTGTTCGACTTATTTTGAAAAATTTTTTATAATTCTTGCATAGCTTTCTAAAGGTTGTTATTCTCTTTATGAACGCCTTTATAAAAAACTGCAGCACACTAAATCTTTTTTCTTATTTAAACTACCTAGTTTGATTGAAGTTTGGGCTCATTCCTTGATAATAGTAGGCTTAGGGCCCGTTTGTGGCAACTTATTTGGTGTGGTGGCGTTTTAAAAACGCATCTGACTTGTTTGGGTAAACTGCGTTTTGGCGGCTTATGCGTTTTCAAAACGCTGAAAACTGCGCACCTATCTAAATGCGGTGGCAGCTTTCTGGCTGCAGTCTGACTTTT